CTGCAAGAAAAGGTCCCGAGGCGGGGCTCGAGGACGCTCTCCGATGCTTAAATTAGTCTGGGGAAATAGTAAATAGAAGTGGGAACAGTAAATAGAGAGAGAGAAATGTAGAGAGAAGAAGGGTTTACTGGAGAGAGAGTGAATGAAAAATGGCAGTCCCCTCTTAAATGTGGCCGTTATCTCTTATTTATAGCCTGTTTTGACACCCTGTCAGACTCGATTCCTCGTACTCATTCCCCGAGGTACGCCCGCGGCGTCTTTTAATGCCTCGTCAACATTTGGGCCCTCACTAGTCATTCCTTCCCGGACGCGGACGAACTATTTATGGCCGAACTAGGCGTTGGGCCTTCCCTCGGCCTTTTTTCCCTTTTGGGCCCTTCCTCCACGTCCATGGGCCTTGATTTAGAGGGTGGTCCCTTTTGGCCCAACACTTCTTACCTAGTTTTTTCCTTGACCTGCCATTGTATTTGCTATCTCTGGAGGAATAAAATTCACCATCTTCCAATTAAAAAAACTACATATCCTTCGTAATAAGGATCTTCATGCATATGATTTCACGTATATGGTAGGAATATCGATTATTTGATTACCCAAAGCTGGAAAAAACTTAAGCCTTTGATATGATCAGTTATTGTAATTGGATTTCAATATCGAATGGACTTTTGGCAGCTATTACTACTGGTACTCTTAAATATATATTTTCTATTTTCTCATTCGAGAAGTCGATGACTAGTGTGATGTGTTAGGAGATATGAAGACAACTTGATAGTATAAGAAAACGACTAGTTATCATGTGGAAGTGATGGTAAGTTAAAATTCACTATCTTTCAAATCGAATAAAAATAAATACGAGATTCGCAAAAACACGATCCACAACATCAATTCCGATTTTTAACTCTAGTCAACCATAACCAATGGTTCAATAATCCATTTTATCATCCTAAATAGGGCTGGAAGTTTGGTACCGGTATTTGGGATATACCGAATACCGTACCAAATTTATCACTATTTGATATTACCGAATACCTACTTATTTTTTAGGAATTGAGATTCATTTTGAAGTGCTATTCGGTATTCGAGATACGGGATTTGGATCGGTATATACCTAAATACTGAGAAATATAAAAAATTTAAAAATTAATGAAATATAACACACACTCTTTGGTCATTCCTCACTCTTTCTCAATTTAGAAGCCCCCATCCAACTCAATTTTGACTTTCCAGTTTAAGTCACTCTCGTCTCTTACCTAATCTCTTGTTATTTTCATAAAACCTAAAAGCAAACACTAGTATTCTTCGTCTCTCAATCTCCAATTCATCAAATTAAAGATTACAATGACAAGAATTTGATGTGTCACCTCTGCTTCATTCTTTTTATCCATATCATAGCTCTAGGCAAAATCAAGACTCTTGCTAGGTCTCTTTGCCCTAAATTAGACAATCAAATCTAATTTACATATTTAATTATTAATTGCAAAGGTAATTAATTTCGTATTCGATAATACTGATTGAGATACCGAAGTACCGATTGAGATACTGAATTATTTAGGATTTGTGATTGGGATTGACTTTAGGTTATAATTCAATATTCGGGATTTTAGTATATGATACTGGGATACTTATACAGTTATACTGTACCAATTTCCACCCTAGCCCTCTATGTATGACAACTATATATGATTCGACCAATGTCACGTCCCTGACATCAGATGCTTGCGTTGCTCCTGAACATTTATTTCAGCATGCTGACTTGGGCTTTCACAATGATGGAAACGACAAAACAGTAAGTACCATCAACTTGCTCGTATACTTTGTAAAAAAAAAATATTGCTCGTATATATAAATCTCTCCCCTCTTTTTTTCTTCTTTTGGCTGGCACTTAAATTTTGCAGCCTTTTTTGTGATAAAACCAAACGGAAAAAAACAAACCTTACGCACTCATGGGTCTTCTGGATGAAGCTTTGGTCAAAATGGGGACCAAATGGGAATATTATATAAAATTGTTGTTTATAATCACTTTTTTTAATTGGGTTAATTGCAAGGATGGTCAATGTGTTTACTAAAAACATTCATATTTGGTCACTACAAATATTTAATTCCATTCATGGTCACTAAGATTACTTCAATAGTTCAAGTTTGGTCACTCTCCATTAGTCTCCGTTAGTTTTTGCTAATGTGGCAGTCAACAATTATAGTTAACCGCTAAATGAGTGACGTGACCATTAAAAAATATTAAAATTTAAATACTTACAATTTTCACCTCATTTTACAACTATTAAAAAATAAAAATAAAACTTAATAGATGGCCTCCGCCATCTACGCCACGTCGCCACCGCAATTCCGATCCCTCCTCATTCTGATTACTCACCTCCCGGATATTCTCCCTTCTATTCCCTCCCTCACAAACCCTAAGATTCTAGAGGAAGAGGTGAACTAGACCTGCCCCGCCGCCGCTCACTTCCAGATGGCGACCGCTACCAGCCTCAGCGGCAGCGGCGGAGACGATCGTGTCAGGGCCACGACGCAGCAGATCGTCAAGAGCCTCAACACACCGGCCAATATCAGAGAAGACGTGCTCCTCATCTTCTCCAGCTTCGACAACTGCCTCTCCAACATCACCGATTTGGTCAACGACGACGACCGCAAGGCCCGCTCCAAGCTCGACGCCGCCGAGCAAGTCATTATGCGCTGGGATTCCTCTCAAACCGCTCTTCCCTCCTGGTGCGACTGCCCCGAGGACGCCGTCGACTACTTGACTGCCGTCGACCTGCTCGACGACCTCTCCTTTAAGGATGCTAGCATCGAGGCCATGGACTGGGCCGAGACAGCCGTCCAGGTCGCTATGACAAGGCTGGAGGAAGAGTTTCGCCACATCCTCACTAGGAACACTGTCCCGCTCGATGCCGAGAGGCTGTACGGATCCATTCGTAGGGTCTCTATCTCGTTGGTGGGTAACGAGGGGGAGATCATCGACGACGAATTCGAGAGTTTCGGGGAGGTAGATAGTGCTTGTGGGACTGGGAGCGACTATTTCCACGAGCAGGGGCTAGTTTGGGTTATGAGGTAGAAATTGTAAATATTTAATATTTTTTTAATGTCCACGTCACTAATTTAACGATCACTAAATAGTTGACTGCCACATCAGCAAAAACTAACGGAGACTAACGGAGAGTGACCAAATTTAAACTATTGAACTAATCTTAGTGACCATGAATGAAATTAAATATTTGAAGTGACCAAACATGAACGTTTTTAGTAAACCCAATGACCAACCTTGCAATTAACCCTTTTTTGATTTGATATGTTTTTATACGAGTGTCATGAATGATTAAAATATCAAATTATTCTTAAAATGAAGGTGGCGAAACATAGTTTACAGAGATATACGTACGTAGGGCTGAAAATTGTCCTGACCCGTCCTTGTTCCATTCCTGACCCTGTCATACCCATCCCTGAAGGGTCAAGATGAATAACTGTCTCGTCCCATTCCTTTTTCCTTCTTGACCCTGTCTGACCCTCAAGGGATGGGACGGGTCAGGACGGGCCAGGTCAGTGTGTCGACCCTAATTTGCACACTATTTTTTTTATAAATTTCATTTTGGTACCCAAACTTATTTTTTCTTACAATTTAGTACCTAATTTTTTTTTACAAATAAGTCCTTAAATTTTGGTGGTAAAATTACATTTTGGTACCCAATTTTTTTTTGTTTTTGCAATTTAGTACCTAAACTTTGAAAACTTTTACAAAGAGGTCCAATGTGGTATGAGATATTTGTTGTTGCTAAGGATCACAGGGTCAAAAAGTGACCCGTCCCTAAGTTGTCCCGACCCGTCTCGACCCTTATAGGGACGGGTCGGGACGGGTCAGTGGATTTTTAGGTTCAAACTTACACCCCTATACGTACGTTTACCTCAATATGTAGGCAAATTAATAATATTAAACTTATAAAGCTTAAAACACCAATAATTGTGACACCGTATCGAAAGTTATATCGAAACGGTTAGTAGTAGAATTTTTTTATGTTAAAACCGTAGTTCAACCTTTTCGTACAACTAAAACTATCTATCGTTTTGGGTTCAGTATCCTGTATATTCGATCGGAGACAATGCGGTTGCATTTCTAATACATTTAAAAACACTTCTTAATTTCAAGTGACGATTTTGGACTAAAATGATAAGGGACTAAAAAATTAAGTGGTATAATAACAGCAAAACTTAAATTTCAGTACTGCTTGCCACAATTTAAACTGTCGTCGGTTTGTTAAGATGAAACTTTTCTTTAATCATTTAAATCAAAGTCTTTGAATCAAAATTTTACAATGTCCCGAATCAAAATCTAATTGTGTCCGAATCAAAGCCAAGAGATTTTTACTTGCCGTTTTCTATGCAACTATTGAACCCATCTGGCAAACAAATATGAGAATGAAATTCATCCAACTAGGTATTGAATTGTAGTACTTTTAGGAACCTAGAAAGAAGCATGAACAACATCGTCATATACTTTAGTTAATTAAATTACACTAAACTAGTCACAACAATAACTAACATCCAAAGTACGACGTTGGTATACAATAAGATCTAGCTTAGATTAGATTTGAATGATGATGACCGATCGAAGACAGGAAAGCCCTTCCCCACTTCCAGGAATCCATTCATCAGTTTCATATAATTAAATGGTGCGCCGAAATATGTACAGTCTTGTGTTTAGACTACTATATATGATTTCTTCCAGATTCACCCAGTCTCTCTTTCTCACTATCCTACGTAGAATATTCATTGAACTTTCTTCGAATACCCCGCCAACTTGCACCCACCCCAACCCCGGCCAGATTATTAATATTTTAAGAAGACTCCTTTAGCTAGGCTGTCATCGTCAAGTCAATCGTGTAGCTATAAAAATGGCCGTTGGCTCAGGTCTTCCTGCTCATTTGACCTCTCAATCATAAATCATAGAACCGTTGTCAGCTGCAGAGAGAAATTAGTGAGGAAGAAAAGAATTAATGGCGAGAACTCCTTACACTGACAAGAATGGTCTGAAGAAGGGCACTTGGACTGCAGAAGAGGACATGCGGCTTGCTGCCTACGTCGCCGCGCACGGCTGCCGGAACTGGCGCCGATTGCCCAAATATGCTGGTACACGCAATTACTTATGTACTTGATCTTTTAGAAGGGAATCTTGCAGGGTCGCAAATTGTCGTAACTGATCTGTTCTTCTTCTTCTTGTAGGTTTGGCAAGATGCGGGAAGAGTTGCCGGTTGCGGTGGTTGAACTATCTGAGGCCAGATATTAAGAGAGGGAACTTCACTAAGGAAGAGGAAGCTGCCATTGTTGCTCTACATGAATCACTGGGGAACAAGTGAGTCTATATTGTCCGGAATTATTAACTTCATTTGTATTCCTGCAGTATACTATACTTCACACTTTTAGTGACATAATATATATCTAAATCATGAATTCAAGTGAGTTTGAGCTACGATACTATACCTAACTTTTAATGGATAAATCCCATACCCTGATTCTCTAAATCCAAGCTCAAAATTTTCGATCGGATAAAAAACAATAATTGATTGTTTTGATTAGTCAGAGCTTATCGAATTACACATCTAACGACAAAATTACCTAAAATATACTATACTCCTGAAATATACTAGTCTTTTACTGCATACAGACTAATTAATAACTCATATGTGGTCTTGAATCGCTGCAGATGGTCGATAATTGCAACCCATTTGCCAGGGAGGACTGACAACGAGATCAAGAACTACTGGAACACTCACGTGACGAAGAAATCTCAATCTAAACCCGCCACCACTACAGACGCTGCACAGCCAATTGTTTGCAGCAGCAGCAGCAGCAACGTCGACGCCGTTTCTCATCAACAGCAATTATCAGAGATTGTTAGTACATCAATTGGCCATGAGAGTTATCATGATAATATAAGTAGGCATGAAATTACCGACGTTGAGGTTGTCTCGACGCCACAGATCAATGATCATCAGTACTGCTTGTCCCTGCCTCAGATGTCCGCCGAGAGCAGCTCCTCTCTATCGCCAACAACTGGTACTGACAGCCCGAATTCGAACAGTGGCAGTTCGGTTTTGATTACGAATGACTTTCATCAGTGTGATTTTGGTGGCGATTTCTGGTCGCAGCCATGCCAGCTGGTTGATGCTGCTGATGACTATACACAGCGGGAGATTTACAGTACTACTACTACTACTGACGATGATCAGTATTTCGGCTTTTACAATGATTACATGCTCTGGCTACATTACGGCTTGCACAATGAGTTGGTGCAAGGGATCGTATGAAAAACCGGTGCCAGTTGTTCGTTCAGATGTATGTAAGTAGTCCCGGGGCTCGTGTGAAGGTTTTTTGGTTACTTGAGTTCATAGCTGCTGTACAATAATCCCTTCCATGGAATCAATTAATTGCATGTGATCCATTGTGCTTGAAATACCACGGTTGCTGTACTAGTACTGTTGCATGTGTTAAAAAAAATCTCTTTAGGTCCTGTTCACTTTCATTTTCGTTTTCTGTTTTCTGTTTTCATGTCATAAATTTGGCAACTGAAACAAGAAAACATGTTTACTTTTCATTCTGTTTTCTATTCGTTTCCAACTATGAAAACAGAAAGTGACAACTTCCTGTTGTTTTCCGAAACGATAAAATGTTATTTTCTCAAAAAATAGGAATAAAAAATGAAAGTAGACAGAGTATGGTGTTAAACGTCGTTGGTTGATGCATGGATCATTAGAAACCAATGAGAGATCGACCTCTAATTTTCTTTGATGTGTGTAAATAAGAGGTTGAGATATGGCTTATGTCTAACCGCATCCAGCAATTGCAAATCGACCATATTTTTATTGTCTATCTCAAATTTTTTGCAATCTAACTCAATTTTATTAGTTGCATTTACATTAATGCAATTCATTTGCAAATTTCTTATAAGTTTATGTGACTTTATAATATATAAATACAAATAAACTAAGGGAGAAAAAAATTATTATTTTTATTTATTTATTTACATATTGAGTACCATATAGGATTTTTAATTGAAAAAATGTCATTGATGTGGATTATCTAAGTTTGTGGTAGTTACAGGCACAAGAGAAACTTAAGATTGAACACTAACCCCTAGAGGTGGCAATTGGATCGGATTCGTGGATTCGTGGATTGGATTGGTGGATCCATGGATCAAATGGATTGGATCCAATGGATTGATGGATTCATGGATTGGATCAAATGGATTGGTGGATTGATCCATGAATCCAAATGACATCCAAGGCTTGGACCAAAATGTAAATTTTGAAAAGTTTAGGTACTAAAATGTCATAATGAAAAATTTTAGGTACCAAAATGTAATTTTCCAATGATTTTTTTCGTATAAAAATATAAATTTTAGGTACCAAAATGTAAAATTTAAAAAATATAGATACCAAATCGTAATTTTCCATTTGGATCCATGGATTGATCCATGAATCCACCAATCCAATTGGGTTTGGATCAAATGGATTGGATTTAAATGGATTGGATTAAGTGGATAATTTGGTGGATGGATTGGATTGGATTCATGGATTTGGATCCTAATTGCCACCTCTACTAACCCCAGACACCCTATGACTAATTGCAAATTTTTTTGCTAGTATCAAGTCTTGTGTAAGGAGGCCACCAGGTACGATATTCAATCTCATTTGCTATGTCTTGTCCGATTGTTATTGCAAGTTCTTAGATGCCCTTCCTATTTAATTCGACTAGTTTGATGCATGTTCGATAAAGATGATTGGTAAAGGAGTGGCCAAACATTGGCTCTAATTAAGATGGTGTAGAATTAGGATGGAATAGGGGTAATAAGGACAGACATAATCAAGTAAATTTAACGGTACAGGGACACGCTTTATAACGAACTAAAACTAAAGAAGACAAAACTCAGACTCGGTGATTTTGTAGATGTTAGCAACTTAATTTCTACCTTAATCCTCTCCAGACCCATTTTCTTATATTTGGTTGTGGGCTTTGCAAATGAAATGACAGCCCACCATAATTTATTTGTTGCTCTCAACCTGAATTGGTTGCGCCCGGGCCAAGAATTTTGATCCAGATGGATTTGGTTCGGACTGGATTGTTAATCGTCGTCACCTCTCGATATTTGCCATCCAGTTTACATCTGCAGCGCACTTTTTCAAAATTTCAGCTTTGACCTGCACTAAATTAATGGGAGGATTATGGTAATTAGTAATAAGTGAATTACAATGAAGTAATTACTATGA